CCGGAAATCGAGTCCCTGGCCCCTGGGATTGTGAATCTTGGCCAACCTGGGATTGTGAATCTTGGCCAACCTGGGATTGTGAATCTAAGCCAACCTGGGATTGTGAATCTTGGCCAACCTGGGATTGTGAATCTAAGCCAACCTGGGATTGTGAATCTTGGCCAACCTGGGATTGTGAATCTTGTCCAACCTGCGATTGTGAATCTTGTCCAACCTGGTATTGTGAATCTTGGCCCCTGGGATGGTGAATCTTGGCCCCTGGGATTGTGAATCTTGGCCAACCTGGGATGGTGAATCTTGGCCCCTGGGATTGTGAATCTTGGCCAACCTGCGATTGTGAATCTTGTCCAACCTGGGATTGTGAATCTTGGCCAACCTGGTATTGTGAATCTTGGCCCCTGGGATGGTGAATCTTGGCCCCTGGGATTGTGAATGTTGGCCAACCTGGTATTGTGAATCTTGGCCCTTGGGATTGTGAATCTTGGCCCCTGGGATGGTGAATCTTGGCCCCTGGGATTGTGAATCTTGGCCAACCTGGTATTGTGAATCTTGGCCAACCTGGGATTGTGAATCTTGGCCAACCTGGGATTGTGAATCTTGGCCAACCTGGGATTGTGAATCTTGGCCAACCTGGGATTGTGAATCTTGGCCCCTGGGATTGTGAATCGCGGAATCTGATCATTAGATCATGAGAAAATGTGTATACTCACTTAGTTGTGCTTGCGGGGGTTGAGCTCTGGCTCTTTGGTCCCGCCTCTCAACTGTCAGGCCCTTAGATGTTAAATTAAGTAGATTAATTACCGATTAATTACTTAATTTACCGAAGAAACTCATCCTAAAATTAATGACCGAACCACTGAATTATCATCCGCTTTGGTGGAGGAGGCAGCGAGCCATGAGAGAGGGGGGGGGAGGGGGTGATTAGGGGTCAGAGGTCAGCCGGGGTCACGCCCCCTTTGGGGTCACGATACCCCAGTACCCAGTCATGACCCCAAAATGTGGGTAGATTGCTATCCAGTATCACGTTTGGGTGACTGATGGAGCAATCTTAAATGTCTAAGAATATGTGCATAAGATGGTAGAGACGATTGGGCTTTGGACTGTTCTTTGTGGTGTGGGGGGTGTTCTTTGTGGCGTGGGGGGTGTTCTTTGTGGCGTGGGGGGTGTTCTTTGTGGAGTGGGGGGTGTTCTTTGTGGCGTGGGGGGTGTTCTTTGTGGAGTGGGGGGTGTTCTTTGTGGAGTGGGGGGTGTTATTTGTGGTGTGGGGGTGTTATTTGTGGTGTGGGGGGTGTTCTTTGTGGAGTGGGGGGTGTTCTTTGTGGTGTGGGGGTGTTCTTTGTGGAGTGGGGGGTGTTCTTTGTGGTGTGGGGGGTGTTCTTTGTGGCGTGGGGGGTGTTCTTTGTGGTGTGGGGGGGTGTTCTTTGTGGTGTGGGGGTGTGTTATTTGTGGCGTGGGGGGTGTTCTTTGTGGTGTGGGGGGTGTTCTTTGTGGTGTGGGGGTGTTCTTTGTGGTGTGGGGGGTGTTCTTTGTGGTGTGGGGGTGTTATTCGTGGTGTGGGACTGTTCTTTGTGGTGTGGGGGTGTTCTTTGTGGTGTGGGGGGTGTTCTTTGTGGAGTGGGGGGGTGTTCTTTGTGGTGTGGGGGTGTTCTTTGTGGCGTGGGGGGTGTTCTTTGTGGTGTGGGGGGTGTTCTTTGTGGTGTGGGGGTGTTATTTGTGGTGTGGGAATGTTATTTGTGGTGTGGGAATGTTCTTTGTGGTGTGGGGGGTGTTCTTTGTGGCGTGGGGGGTGTTCTTGTGGTGTGGGGGGTGTTCTTTGTGGTGTGGGGGGTGTTCTTTGTGGAGTGGGGGGTGTTCTTTGTGGCGTGGGGGGTGTTCTTTGTGGTGTGGGGGGTGTTCTTTGTGGTGTGGGGGTGTTCTTTGTGGCGTGGGGGGTGTTCTTTGTGGGGTGTTCTTTTGTGTGGGGGGTGTTCTTTGTGGTGTGGGGGTGTTCTTTGTGGTGTGGGGGGTGTTCTTTGGTGGTGTGGGGGGTGTTCTTTGTGGTGTGGGGGTGTTCTTTGTGGTGTGGGGGGTGTTCTTTGTGGTGTGGGGGTGTCTTTGTGGCGTGGGGGGTGTTCTTTGTGGTGTGGGGGGTGTTCTTTGTGGTGTGGGGGTGTTCTTTGTGGTGTGGGACTGTTCTTTGTGGTGTGGGACTGTTCTTTGTGGTGTGGGGGGTGTTCTTTGTGGCGTGGGGGGTGTTCTTTGTGGTGTGGGGGGTGTTCTTTGTGGTGTGGGGGGGGTGTATTTGTGGAGTGGGGGGTGTTCTTTGTGGCGTGGGGGGTGTTATTTGTGGTGTGGGGGGTGTTCTTTGTGGTGTGGGGGTG